TTGGAAGACATTTTTTGTTAAAGAATTATGTTTAAATTTATATATTATTGTTACTCTTTTTAAATTTGCTATAGGGCATGTGTGCACACCAGGAAGAGACAGACAAAGAGAGAGAGAGAGAGAGAGGAAGAGAAAGTGAGAAAGCAAGCCAGCTGCCAGGTCTGGGACTCAAACCACAGTTGGCCATGTGAGAGTTCAGCACCTTAACCACCATGCTACCTGCAGGCCCCTACTTTTTTTTTTTTTTAATAAAGGGAACCTGACACTTCAAGAAAAACAATGAACAATATGTGATCCTAATGACAATATTTGAGTTTTCAAGTAAAAATTCTAATTTTAGAATACTTCTAACAGCACAATGAAGTTGAGAGTCAATATAATGTAGGACTGAGCAAGGACATTGGAGAATCCATTTATATTCTACTCAGCCAGACATTGCATATTTTTGAAAATGTAACATTATAGTGCTATTTTTTTGATTGGGGAAAAAATAAATATGTTATGTATTTAATGAAGTTTCAAATGTATTAGTAACTATTTCTAAATTTCTCCATTTTAATGTTCAAAATGGCAAATATCAATAATAGATAAAACAAACTTATGTAAAAGTTCCCAGGGATCTTTGACAATTATTTTTTAGAGAGATTTTTTTTTCACCTAAGGCACATGCACTTGCCAAAGAGACAGAAAGACAGAAAGGGAGAAAATCAACCCCCAGAAGGGGATGGCTACACCGCAATTCCTTCTCCTCCATTCCCCTCTCAAAATTTTGGGCACACACGCACATGCACCAGGTGTGAGTTTTAAGCTGCCAGGTCCAGGACTTGAACCGCGGTCAACTACATAGGAGTCCAGCGATGTAACCATTATGCCATCTGCTGGCCCTGACCTTTGACAATTTTTAAGAGCATGGAGGGGTCCTAAGATTAGCAAATTTCCAGACTGCAGCCTGGTGACTACCTCAATGTATGTACATTGCCACCTTCCATGTAAACTGAATTCCACAGACCTCCATTCTAAGTTGCCCTTTTTGAGTTTTCTGGCAATTCTCAGATCTTTGTAGAGCAGGAATAATTAATATACTCTGTCTTTAGTTCAGTTCATAAGCAGGATCAACTTCACTAACTCCCTCCACTTCCCCGAGGCACAGAACCTATGTTCTGATCTTAACTCTCTACCATCTCATTGAGAAAACATGCACAGAGCCCCTACCACACATCAGCTTATGTGCCAGGCTCTGCAGTAACAAAGATCAATAAAGCAAAGAGGCCTCTGAGCAGATGGAGTCCAACCAAGTCTGGAACACACTGAAAGAGAAATGCTTAAAGAAGTACTACATCTCTGCTTTTCATTGAACCTAGAAAAACAGTATGAACTATATGCACTCTTTTGATGATAAAAAAAAAAAGACAGAATAAAAGGATAATAAATCTTGTGCCTGCAACCAAGAGCCATCCTTCAAAGTCATTCCTATGCATGCCAAATCTTTAGATATGACTGGCCAAGGAAGGGAAGGTGGACAGCTGGACAGGTCTCTGGAATGAGCAATATCGGAGTCATACTCCTCAGTTCTCACCTCCCCTCAAAGTGTCAGAGCTAGAGAAAGAATGCGGATGAAATTGATTCTCTTTTACTTGCTGACCCTCTGCTTCCCTATGGAATGTGATCAGTCATGACTCTGGCCAGAAACCTGAGTAAGCAACCCAGACTCTTATCAGTGTGCATGAATACATGTTTAAAACTGCACTGGACAAATCTATACTTGGAAACACACAATTGGGGGAAAAAAATCATCTCTAAGAACCAGAGGCAATGTATATGGTCTTTTGGCAGAATCTCCATAAATTAATTATTTGAGAAAGGAAAAAGTACATTATTGTGTATACTTTAAAGATACAACCAATAATAACATGAAATTCTAGCTCTCAACCACTGTTTTCAATATTCTTTGGAGAAACACATTTGCTTTTAATTTGGGGAGTGGTTGGAGCTTGGGAATTCAAACTTGGTTTACAATTTCAGCACTTTAGTTCACAAGATATTCTGACTAACATACACACACACACACATACACACATATATACACAAATATGTGTGTACATATATATGTGTGTGTATAGAAACTCATCATATTGAAATCTCTCTGGATTTCAAAGTAAACAGAGTATAGAGAATATGAATGATAACTTTTCATATTGGTGTTGCTTGAGGTTAAAAAAGTAATAGACATGTCAACCCATTTTACTAATTAAATTGCTTATAATTTATTTTTAATCTTTATGCCTATTGCAGGGGCAGCACTATTTAATACAGCTAAGCTAAACCAATCTTTGCACACCTAATGAGTAAGTAACAAGTTAGCATAAATCTTCTAATGATAGCAATAAACATTTATTCTTATTCTCCATTCTAATAACACATAGTGCACTGAACCAAACACCACCATCTAATAACACAATTTGTTTTAGTTTAATAAATTCATCTAATGTCTGGAATGACCCAGTTGCCTGGATTCAATAAATATTTTCATTTTCAAACTAATCAAATGAAGTTGAGAGTCAATATAATGTAGGACTGAGCAAGGACATTGGAGAATCCATTTATATTCTACTCAGCCAGACATTGCATATTTTTGAAAATGTAACATTATAGTGCTATTTTTTTGATTGGGGAAAAAATAAATATGTTATGTATTTAATGAAGTTTCAAATGTATTAGTAACTATTTCTAAATTTCTCCATTTTAGTTCTCATTTAGTTCTCATTTAGGAACTAAAAACAGAGAAGAAAGGTAGGCAGAAAGAAATGGGGTAGGTTCAGGAGGGATAACACCAAGTTAAAATAAAACTACATAGGAGTCATGGGCTGGGTTAAACTAAACAGCTCAATATATAAGCCTCTGTTAAGATCTTTTGGGTTGACCCCATAGCCAGATCCCACACTGGTCAACCATGGTTTGAATCTCAGCCCCAGTGGCTTGAAATATAAGCCAGATGAATGTGTGTGAGTGTGTATCCAAAATTCCAGCAGGACAGAGAGATGGGAGAAAAGGGGTATAGAGTGACCACACCCCATCTGGAGTGCTTTCTCCCTCTCATTCTCCTTTTGCTTCTTTACCTCTCTCTGGTAAGAGCACACACTCTCTGGCAAACAAACAAACAAACAAAAAATATATATATATGTTTATATATATATATATATATATGATATATATGTCATATATATCATATATATATATGTTAATGTATCTATATTACCCAAATATATATATATAATCTTTTAGAAAATAGTTTTGTGGGTCAGAAGGTGGCATGGAGGTTACGGTGCTGGATCCCATATAACAGATCTGGTAGTCGAGCTCTGCACCCAGAGGCTTGAAAACCACACCAGGTGCACATGCACACATACCCAAAATCCTGAGAGGAGAGTGGGAGAGAAAGGATTGAAGCATGGCCATCCCCCCTGCAGGGTAATTGGGTAATTTCTCACTTTTCTTCTCTTTCCATCTCTCTCTGTCTCTTTGAAGCAAGTGCACACTCCCTACAGCAAAACTAAAATAATAATAATAATAATTCTAACTCAGTAAAAGAGGTTATCTGGCCTAGAAATCTTTGAGATATATATCTATATACACACACATATATATGTGTGTGTGTGTGTGTGTGTAAAATATAACTGAATTGCGCTTTGAATCACATTCTCAGAATTATATCTCTAGTAAGAATTAAATCTCTATTTACTTCTCAAATGCCCGCTAAGCCATGACCACACTGCTCCATGTACGGAACTTACATAGCCAGTTATCATGAGGGGAAGAAAAAGAAAAGAAAAATTTTAAAAGACAACAATAATAAATATCCTTTTAAGTGAAGAGAATCATCCCCCTCATCCCCCCACAAGAAAAGAAAGCAGGAAAACAAACACATGAGCCTCAATTTCACTAGCATGTTGTGTCTGGGTCGCTGCCAAGGATCACAAACCACACTTGATATTTTGCGTGTTTGGCAGAGTGACACTCGAATGTCTTTGAGGAGAGTAGGGAGGGAGAAAAAGGACTCAGAAAACAGCAAACAAGAGCTTTCCAGAGCATAGCTATACCATTTCTACTTGATTATCAAAACAACATTGGAAGTAGTTTAATTAAAAAACGAATCAATGGTATGGGGAGACAAAAGCCTAAGAGATACCGCAGGGAAGGCCAAACCCGGCATTCTGGGGCTTAGACTCTGAAACCCTCATTTCTTACCCACCAGCAGGCAGAATGGCATGTACCTATACCACGGCATTGGACAACATGGTTTGACTCACAAATAGCCTCCAATCTCTGACCTTTCACGATGAATTACACGCTTTACTTCATGAGGGAAGGGGAAGGATTACCCTAAGTCAGAAGACAGCGCCTAACATGTGAGGACAGATGAAATCAGGAATCTCCCCACACTTGGCTCAGCACATTAAAATTAGTCACTGTCTATAACGAAACCGCCAAGGCTGCTGAGGATGTGAAAGTTAATACCGGCCTGATGTAAACTGTCAGTCCATTTTCCGTTGCCACTCCCCCTAAAAAGTTGTGAGTAGTTGGCTGATTTCTCCCAAAGCCCTTCATCTGGAAAAGAAATTTCTTAATTCCACAACTGCCCATTTTCTAGCAGACTCCCTTACTGAGAGGTTTTTAGGTTAGGTCAGTGATATAGCTGAGCTCAATGAATTTTTTTTTTTAAACTCTAAAATGATTGAAGATCTTTCTCTAGCCTTATGTATACAACTGGCATGAGGGTGACTATTAAGAGCAAAATGTTCTGGTTTGGTTTTAACCAGGAGGAAAGCTCATTTTTATATAACTCTTTGTTGGTGTTCATCACAGAACATTTCTATGTGCTCCTGTTTATCAAATTAACCATAAACAATAAAGGTAAATGATTTCGGAGAGTCAATATAAAGCAAACGATCTCTCTAAAAAAATCTCATCCACAAATAATAAAATGACAGCAAAATGATTACCTCTGCTCTCTGCGTTCTGGGAAAAGCAGTTGATTTTTCGATGGCATACACATCCACCAGGTAAAGACATGCTCCTTGCTCCCGGTCCAGAATGGCTGCAGTCTGAATGATGCCCGAATGCCGGCCGATGGTAAAGAGACGTCCCACAGTCTTCTCTTCACAGCGGACGGACACAATGTAGTACTCCACGGGGGCTTCCGATCCTCTGGGGCTAGCTGCTTCTATTGATATGACATTGGTGCCGATGGGTTCCCCTTCCTTCAAAATGGTGATGTATTTGGGTTGAGTGAAAACGGGTCCATCAAGGCCCTGAAGAATGATGGTCAATTCGGTGGTGGATTTCCTCCTCTCAGGGCCAAGGTCTGTGGCTGAAACGATGAGGTTGTAGATCAGCTGGGAAGGCACCAGGGCTGAAGCCACTCTCAAGTCACCACTATACCGATCCATGATGAAGGTGTCTGTGTCCCCATTGACGATCTCATACTCCACCTCTCCGTTGGCCCCTTCATCCGGGTCAGCGGCCATAATTGTTGTCAGAATGGAACCAATCACAGCGGAGGGGTCTGCAGCCAGGGCGTTTTGAGATATGAACATCGGGACGTTGTCATTGAGGTCTGTAACCAAAATGGTCACATTTTTCAAAGCATACCTTCTAGTTTCTATCGGCACAGCTTGATCATTGGCTTTGACAGTTAATTCAAAAAGATTGGCAAATTCCCGGTCTATTTCAGCATTGGTATATATAGTTCCCTTCACTTGGTCAATGCCAAAGTGGTTGCCCCTTGGCATCTGTTGAATGATTGTGTAGGAGAGCTGACCATTAATATCTGCATCCGGGTCGTGTGCGGTCACTGAAATGACAGACGTCCCAATGGGAATGTTCTCAACGATGGACTTGAAAATATCTCCAGGAGGAAAGCTAGGGGGATTGTCATTAAAATCCCTCACATGTATAACCACTGACATCGTGGATGAACGAGGGGGTCTTCCTTTATCTTTCGCTGTTATATTTAATTTGTACAAAGACTGTGTCTCAAAGTCCAATTTTTTGGCAAGGAAGATGCTCCCAGTGTTTGGGCTAATGCTAAATGTTCCGTGGTTGTTAGTCCCAGTGATGCTATACTGTAAGTCAGCATTGTCACCTGAATCAGAATCAGTGGCAGTAACAGAAGACACAAGTTCCCCAATTCTCATGTTTTCCAAAACATCAACAAATAGTGTTGATTTGGGGAAAGAAGGAGTATTGTCATTTTCATCTAAAATATCAATGCTTAGGGTACAGGTGGAATTGAGGGAGACGGTCCCTGAATCCACTGCTTGAATAACCAGGGAATAGGCAGGTGTTGCTTCGTAGTCTAATGTGCCAATCAGCGTCACCTGGCCAGAGTTACTGTCTATAGCAAACTGTCTTTCTTCATTTCCCTTTATTACAGAATAATGAATAAGTCCATTACTACCTTCATCCACATCTGAGGCAGAGACTCTTAAAACTTGTGTCAAGTTGGCTGCTGACTCTGAGATTGTAGCTTGGTAAAAGTCCTTTAAGAACTTGGGAGCATTGTCATTTATATCCTTCATGTAAACATGCACAGTGGCCTGATCCTTGAGGGGCTGAGGGAGGCCCTGATCTGTTGCGATGACTGTAAAACTAAACACTGCAGTCCCTCGCCGCCTCATAAGGGACTCCCTGTCAAACTGATGGGTATTAGTGATCTCCCCACTGACAGCATGCAGCTCAAAATCTGGCTGCACCATTTCGAAAGAATACCTCACTTCTCCATTAGGCCCAAAGTCTTTATCTATAGCATTTACTTTGCCCACAAAGGATCCCGCTCTCTGCTCCTCTTCGAAGTAAAATGTGTAATTGGTGCTGTTAAAAAGAGGTCTGTTGTCATTGACATCTTCTAGAATTACAGTAACATTCACAGTAGCACTCAGGGGCTCCACTGCTCTGTCGGAAGCAACAACTACTAAAACATATCTGTCTTGAAGTTCACGGTCCAGTTCACTTTTTATATACAATTGACCATCTGGGAATATGCCAAAGGCATCCCCTGTATTCCCTTCTGCAATGGTGTACGAAATTTCACCATTTGCTCCTGAATCCTTATCAGAAGCTTGCACTTGAAAGAATCGAGAATTCACAGGTTCTGACTCGGAAAGGGTGACCTCATAAGAGAGCTGGTCAAACACTGGTGGGTTGTCGTTTACATCATGTACATAAACCGTTAGGATGACACTGGAGGAGCGCTGGGGGACGCCCATATCAGACGCCAAGATTTCTATCTGGTAGGAGCCCACGTGAACATCCAGAGGCCCTAGCAGACTGATATTACCATTCTTTTCATTGATAGCAAACAGGTTCTTGGGGTTTTGCCTCAGACTATAAAGTACCATGCCATTGACACCTTCATCGGGGTCCACAGCTTTGGCTTGGAAAATGCTGTGCCCTGCCTGCCAGTTCTCCACCACATTGACACTCTCCACTGCCTGCAAGAAATGGGGCGAGTTGTCATTCAGATCCTTCACTGTTATGTTAACCACGGTGTCCCCAGCCACTGTGCCCCCACTGGCCACCACTTTCAGCTGATAAAAGGATTGCTCTTCTCTGTCAATCACACTCGCGGTGGTCAGCTGCCCAGTGACCTGGTTGATAGCAAACATACCTTTCTGGTCCCCAGTCGTAATGAGATAACTGATGTTGGAATTGAGATCCATGCTGGAGGCAGACACACTACCCACGTGATATCCCAGAGCCACGTTTTCAAAGACCACAAAGCTGTAGGCAGCCTGGCTGAATACAGGTGGGTTGTCTTGAGTGTCCAAAACAGTGATGGTGACTATTGCCTGATTGGGAGACTGTAAGTTCCCACCATCGGTAGCCACAATTTGCAACTGGTAAGCAGTTTTCTCTTCTCTGTCTAGGGCCATTTTTGTAGAAATAACCCCACTCTGAGCATTGACCTGAAAGCGAGACCTGTCCCCAGCTGATAGGCTGTATTTGACAGTCCCATTGGGACCCAAATCTGGGTCAGTGGCAGACACCGTGGTGATGTAGCTACCTCCAGGTTCATTTTCCTGAATATGAGCAAAGTACTGGACCGGGTAGAACACAGGGCTGTTGTCATTCACATCTAGAAGACTCACATTGATGCGAGCCACTGAGGACTGAGGAGGGGAGCCCAGGTCTGTGGCCAGAACCAGCAGGGAGTAGAAGGCTTGCTCTTCTCTGTCCAAGGAGGAGATAGTGCTCAACCTCCCCGACACAGGATCCAGGCGGAAGGACCTCTGGTCAGCCTCAGCCTCTTGTAGGGAGAAACGCACGGTCCCATTGTCACCCAGGTCCCCATCAGTTGCCCGGAGCACCAGTAGTTCTGTCCCTGTTGGGGAATTTTCAACCACAGACACATTATACCCCTCGGGCTGGCTAAACACTGGCTTCTCATCATTCACATCCAGGAGAGTTACTACAAGCTGGGCATAGGAAACCTTGGGATGAACCCCCTGGTCCCGGGCACTGATATTCAGCACAATCTGGGAAGCCAGTTCACGGTCCAGGCCCCCAGCAGCCCCCGTGGTCACCAGGCCGCTGTGCTCACTGATGTGGAACCACCCCAGGCCGTTGCCAGAGACGATGCTGTACCGCAGGTTGGCATTGAGACCAGAGTCGCCATCGGTGGCAGAGACCCCACACACGTAGCTCCCCGGGGGCGCCTCCTCGCTCAGGTTCACTCGGTACACTTGCTGCGCAAAGACAGGAGGATGGTCATTGATGTCATTGACGAAAATCACCAGGCTTGCTACAGAGGAGCGCGCCCGGACCGCCGCGGCAGGGGGCGCCCCATAGTTATCAGAGACGGAAACCGTGAGGTTGTAGGATGGGATGCGCTCGCGGTCCAGGGCGCTGGCCACCTTGATCAGGCTCAGGTTGGGCACTTTGCTGCTCTGCACTTCGAAGTGGCGCTGCTCATTGCCCCCAAGAATCTGCACCGAGATGTTCCCGTTGGCCGCGGGGGAATCCGCGTCAGTCACGGTGAGCAGAGCCACCACGGTGCCCACCTGCGCGTTCTCGTCCACCGAGGCGTAGCGCGAGGTGGCGGGGAAGTAGCGGAACTTCACTACCGGGTCATTGTCGTTCACGTCCAGCAGCTGGATCAGCGCCTCCGCGCGCCCGGTGAGCGAAGGCACGCCTCGGTCCATCGCCTGCACCGTGAGCGAGTACTGGCGCCGAGCCTCGAAGTCCAGGGGCTCCCGCACCGTGATGAGTCCCGTCTCCGGGTCCATTTGGAAGGGGGTCCCCTCGTCCTGCAGCCGGTAGCGGATGTCTGCGTTGGTGCCCTCGTCCGCGTCCGCCGCCGCCACCTGGAGGACGCTGGAGCCCACAACCGCGTCCTCGGGCACCCCCGCCTGGTAGTGGGAACTGCCAAAAACCGGGGGGTTGTCATTAATGTCCTGCACGGTCACGTTTACCTGGAGGTAGCCCCGCCGCTTCGGCTCGCCCTTGTCCTCCACTTCCACCAGGAGCTGGTACTGCGGCGTGACCTCGCGGTCCAGCCCGCCCTTGGACACCAAATGCAGGAAGGCGCCTTCGCCGCTCGGGTTCAGGGTGATGTCCAGGCGGAAGCGGCCCGCCCCGTTGCCCCCGGGGAGGGGGGAG